ACCATATTGAGTTCATTTCCAGCTGGAAACTGTCCTGTAATCTCCTTGTAGGTTCTTTGGCTGTGGCGAGTGAGATTAGGCATACGGCACACTGTATCAGTCTTTGCTGGGCACTTAAGACTAGGGACACTAGAAGTTCAGGCGGGCATAGTACAGACTCTCTCTGTGTGTGTGTGTGTGTGTGTGTGTGTGTGTGTGTGTGTGTGATGCATCCTGTGTGGCTACTCATACAATGGGAGTGGTGATGGAGGTTTCTGCCAGCACTGTTGATAGTCCTGTTATGTGTAAGGGTCTCTCACACTGGCTGCACTAACCATGGGGAGGGATTTGAAGTTCTTGTCCTCAAACTACAAGCTAATATTGGCCCAGATGCTGCACAGGGAGAAGTGGGGATGGGAGTGATAGCACGCTCTGTAGCACTCACATCATCTTGTCACTAGTGTGGAACCACACAGTGCTGGGGGGGTACACTGGTGGGGTCCTGCTTAGATGTGGTGTTAGCAGGAGTTGTGGTCTTTCTCTCTGCTGCCACTATGGGTAAATCTGCCTAGGAATGGGCCCTCAGATCACCTCACACGGCTCTTTACACTAGGGGATGGGCAGGTGATGGTGCTTTTCTTCCCTCAGTTTTTAAAGCTGTACTGCCTTCCAGAGATGGAGCAGGAGTGAAGCACAGCTACATCCAGGTAGAATTCCTCTCAGCTGAAGTACCACAGGAGTGAGAGTACAGGGCAGGGTTTTTCTGGATTTCCTCAAGTTAAGTGTCCTGGGGATAAGCCCTGTGTCTCCTTCCCCTTCATTGGGGCAGTGATATTCCTCAAGGTCACTTTGGTTATAGTATATGTTATATTAGTAAGTTGTCACATGTTGTTTGCGCTCACTGAGAAGCTGGTTCTGGAAGCAGGATTGACCCCAGCCTATTTCACACACAGGCATGTTTATGTCGTGTCCTCCTTTGGGAATACCTGGCCCTCCAACCCTCTCACAGGGAGGAGAGGCCAGCACACAGCCCAAGAGTCAAAACATTGTGTCTTAGAGAACAGCTAGAAAGCAAACCTGCACTGGAAAAGAGAAGCCAGAAGTGAGAACCATGGGAAGCTCACCTGTGGAGAGAAAGCTCAGTCGAGACCTCCAGCTGCCTGCCTCAGCTTCCCGACTTGGTTTCTGGGGAAGATGTGAGCACCTTATTTGATGATGTTCTCTCTATCTGTTGCTATTTATTCTTTTACTTTGACTTGCTGCATATGTAATAAAGTCACCCATTCAAAACTGAAAATAGAACTGTTGTAACTTCTCCAGACTATACAAAAGACTAGTAAACCTTTCTGGACCCAGAAGCAGTGGAACCTGAGTTCTTTCCTGTCCTTGTTGGTGATGGGCATCTGTGTGTGGTGCTGGGGCAGGACAGATAGAACTGTGAGGGCAGCTTCCCTCAGTCTTGGTACTAGGAGACACCTTAGATGGTGCGCCATACCCCTCGTCTTGGATGGCAGGTACCCTGTTCCAACTTCTCAAGGGCAGCACCCTCTGTCCTCCTGATCTCGATACCCACTTTGTAGTGCCTTGCTATCAGCTACAGAGATTTGGCTTGTGTGCATGATTTTGTGACCCAGTGCAGCAGAATTCTGTAGAGTCAGGCGTGAGAATGTATGAGGGTTCCAGACCCTTCAGCACCACATTCAGAGTGTAGGCCCATCTCAAGGTGCTGCTTGGCATTTTCCAGGTCCTCTTAATATTGCTGCTTTTCTGTAGGGTTCAGAATTCATATTTTTTGTTACTGAAATATGTATTTCTTCAGTAAGGGATTCTGTGTTGTGAATATTTTTGTCTTTCTCTGAAAATATTTTATCTTTGTTCTGGACTGATCATTTTTCTGGGTCTTGCTTAGATTCTTTCTTGACTGTATTATCATTTGGAACTTGAATGTATTTTATTACATTTTATCTGTGGTATTTTTTTTTTCTCTTTAGTTTAATGGCTTTCTGATCTGCCTCAAAAATATTTACAGGTAAAATTTTCTTAGTAACTTTTTTTGTAGAAATATTTCAAGGTTACATAGAATTGCAAATCCAAAAATACTACAAAGAATACTCCTAACACTTTGCCAGCCACCTGTCATCTTCTGCAAACATTTCACCATTAAAAGAATTTTTTATTTTATTTTATGTGTATGAGTGTATTGACTGCATGTGTGTAAGTGCACATGTCATGCAATGCCCGAGGAGGTCAGAAGAAGGCATCAGATCCCTTGGAACTGGAGTTACAGATCGTTGTTAGCCACCATGTGGGTGCTGGGAATCAAACCCAGGTCCTCTGCAAGAGCAGCTAGTGCTCATAACAGCTGAGCCATCTCTCCAGCCCCACATTTCACACTAATGGGCTCTTTTTTTCTGAGCCTCTCTCTCTCTCTCTCTCTCTCTCTCTCTCTCTCTCTCTCTCTCTCTCTGTCTCTGTCTCTCTCTCTCTCTCTCTAACTGTTTGAAGATAAGTTACACATACTCATGCTCTCTGCCCCTAATACATCAGTACAAGTATGGTTTCTACTATGATTTACATGTATATAGTTTTTAAAAATTCTACTGTTCATAGTACAGTCTTTTTTGTTTATAGTATTTTCCCTCCTTCACTGGATCTGGTCTAGAGTAAAATATGTGCTGACCAGTGCAGGTTTCTTTTATATGGAATATTTTCAGAAAGTTTTCCATTGTATTTTATGCCTTTCTCATTTTTGAAGAATACTGTTTCCTACCCCTTTTAACTTAGCACAGTATCCTTTTTTGTTGTTGCTTTGGGTTTTTCAAGACAGAATCTTACTATGTAACCCAGGCTGGCCTTGAAGTCAGACTCCTGTTGCCTGGGCCATCCCAGATCTAAGGTAGCAGGCATGTAGCCCAGCTTAGAGTAACCCAGTTTTACATTTCTCTGCTGTACCATCTTGGTGAGACCCGGGAGGAATACCAGCAGGTGATAGTATCTTCTTAAGATCACTTCTAAAGGCACGGGCGGTCTACCTGGCTGCCTGCTCCTCTTTCTGATGTGGCCACATTGAATACATTTCTTCTCTCTGATTTTCACCAATAACTCTTTAATTGGTGTAGTGGGAGTGGTGGCCAAGCTGAGCTGTCTGTTGGGGCTGCCAGAGCCCCAGCTTTTACCCTGAAACTCTGTTTATATCGCCTGTGTTAAGTTCTCACCCAAAGTGCATGGATGTGATAGCTGCCCATCACTTCTGTGGTGTAGCTTAGTTTTTCTGGTTTTAGATCTTCTGATGGACAGATAATATTGCGCACATGCTTTAATTTGCATTGTCTTATAGCTCATGGTATTGGAGCATCATGTTTGGTGCTTAGTTGTCTCCACTGTTGGTAAAGTATCTGTTCAAATAGTTCCTCCATTCTTCACTCAACTGTTTGGTTTCTTATTACTGAATTCTGGGGCACACACACACACACACACACACACGCACACCCCCCACGCACGCACACACACGTAATACACGCATGCACGCACACACATGCACACACATGTAACACACGCACACGCACACACGTAAAACACACGTATGCACACACGTAATACACACATACACACGTAATACACATGCACACACGTAATACACATGCCAGCCACATGCACGCACCCGTGCACATGCACACACATGTAATACACACGCACGCACACACGTAATACACACACACACCACACACATGCACACACATGCACACACACGTAATACATGCACACACACGTAATGCACACCACACGCACACATACATAATGCACACACGAAATACACGTAATACACATGCACACACACCACACACACATGTAATACACACACACCACACACATGTAATACACACGCAAACACACACCACACACACACACGTAATACCCACACATGCATGCACACCACACACTCGCACACACACACGTAATACACGCACACGCACGTAATACATGCGCCCACACCCCACACAAACACGTAATGCACACACATGCACACACGCACACGTAATACACCACACACATGTAATACATACCGCACACACACCACACACGCACGTAATACACACATACTGACAGAAGTCAGATATAGTTTTTCCACATATTTTCCTCACACTGTGGTTTTTTTATTCACTTAACTTTTTTTTTTTTTTTTTGAAGGAGCGGGCGTTCTTAATGTCAATAAAGTTTAAGAAACTTAATTTGGTTAACATTTCCTCTGGGGAAATGAGCAGTTTCCGTTTGGAGTTATGTATGTTAGGATACTCACTATGGGATAATTTAGAAGCACAGGAAAACTGGGACAACAGAATTCAGTGAGATCAGCTATGATGATTGTGGTTCTAAAGTCTGATGGTTTAGGCTTTTCTGATATTTAGTCAGAAAAATACTTAAAAGTCTCAAATTGTTCACTGAAATTCTGGCAATGGTTATTAGAGGGTAGCGGGGTCATAAGTGCCTTTTATTTTTTGTTTTTCTTTGTGATTTTATATTTTGTGTATGAAAAGCAATTTTTTTTTCAATCTAAAAGTTAGGAATGGTACCTCTACAACTTATTTTAAAAGAAATACTTTATTTGAGCTTATGAAGCATGATCTGAGCCTGTGGGAATGGCCACTGGTGTTCCAGTGTGCCCTCTGCACCCTGAAATGTGTTTGTGACTGCAGCTCCTTGGTGTTTACTTCTCCACAGTGATTTCTGAAACCTCGTGTTCATCATGTTAGTTCTGATTTTGCTTCCCATTGAACTGACTGCTGCAAGTGCGTAAGAATTTATTTACAAGTATTATGAAAAGCAAAGAAACAATTACTAAACTAGGCATTTTAATTGTCAGTAAGTTTATTTTATGCTCATGAATAATATAAGCTTAGCCTGTGTGTAAATCTTGTCACTACCACCAAAAAAAACCATCTGACACTGCCAAGTGATGTGTTTTACTATTGGTATTATTATTATTATTATTATTATTATTGGTTTATTCTTGTTAAATGAAGGAACTATCAAAAAACCTTGAGCTGAGTACTAACAGTTTCCAGAGACAGTTGCTGGCTGAAAGGAAAAGGGCATTTGAGGCCTGTGATGAAAACAAAGTTCTTCAAGAGGAGCTACAGCGACTTTATCACAAGCTGAAGGTAAGCGCTTTATTCTAGACTGCATTGTTTCTTCTGTCAGTGAACTACGTGAAAACCCAGTATTTTAAAATCCTTTGCTATTCATATTTGTATTATGTAACTTAGAAAATCCCAATATTATATTTGTCACTTGAAAAGGGTTGTTAATATAATGACTATAACAAAGTAGCATGTTGTACAGACCAGCAGGAACAATATAAATGAAATAATTATGAAATCCTGGAAGAGACTTGTAGGGACTAGTATGTGTTGCATTTGAATAACCAGCATTCTTCCTCACATCGTCCCAGGATTGGTTATTTTTTAAAGTTGATGCCCTTCATTGTCACAGTGTTTAGAGAAAACCAATTCAGATTAGTTAATTGTGTTATGATGTGTTTTAATTTTATATAGAGGTGATTGATGAATTGAAGATTTGTGCAGAATTCTATAAAATTATAGTTATCTTATATAGTTTCTCTTTAATCATCAAATTCTCAGAAAAAAAGCATAACCCCCCCCCCACTCCTGACATTGTGAAGAATTCTTGGATTTAAAAATGATCTAATTTTTAACTCATGAATAACCACAAGCCCACACTTAAAAGAAATTCTGGCTAAATTCTTGTTTCTCTGGCTAAACCTGGGTGACAGTGAAGACATTACTAGTTCCATCAGAAGAGAAAATGTAGTTTACTTACTTGCTTCCCTCCACCCCTCCCCTTCCCTCTGCCCCTCCTCTCTCCTCCTTTTCATCACTCTCCCCTCCATTTGAGGAGATTTCTTTCTGTGGTTTGTTTGTAGTTATGCAGGAAAGCTGATCTAGATATAGTGCAGTTTGGTAAGCACTATCAGGTGACAAAGTGAGGGCATTTATTTTATTTCAATCTGGTTATCTTCCTTACTTATACTGGGTTTTGTTTTCAGGAAAAGGAAAGAGAATTAGACATAAAAAACATATACTCCAATCGCCTGCCAAAGCCGTCTCCAAAGAAAGAAAAAGAACTTACCTCAAGAAAAAATGGTATAGTAAATATTACTGATGAAACAAGGGCCATCAGTGATAAATTCTAAAGTCGGAGGAAATGAAGGGAAACGATGTCCTTGGAATATATTTACATTTAATCTATTTTTTACAAATCAAGCTTCCTAATAATTTTCAGAAGTCTTTCAACTTTTGTCTCCCTTAAGGAAGATCATTAAAATTATGTTTTATGTAACCTTTTGAAATGTGTTGAAACATCACAAAGGGTCCCGTTAATATACAGTTTTTGCTATCAGTTAAATAAATTTAATTTTAATAAAAGTAGGAAACTTTTTATTGTAACTTTGATAACCCGAAAATATGTAATCATTGCAAAATAGCCAGTGTTGAATAATGAGTCTTCCTCGTGCCTGGCTCTCACAGTTGTACTTTTTACTGATTTTATCTCATCTGTTTGTACTACTTCCTAGTCTATTTTAAAAACAAATCCAGAAACTATCTCACTTTACTTATTATTGTGCATAGTTTCACTTTTCTTAAAAGAAGTATAATTCTATGAACTGCAAAATTTTTAAAGTATAAACTTTACAAAAAATTAGTAGCATTAGTATTATAATTGCCCCAAATCACATAATTGCCAGTAAACCCTAGAAACAAACAGTGAATGTGAGTATTCATTGAGATGAACAAAATGTACATCATCTCATTTAGATGATGAATAATGCCATTTGGATCTATGTTAACATGTTCAAGGGGATGAGAAAACCTCTTTTATGGTTTTCATGGTAGCATCCTGCCAGAGTGACTTTACGGACCTGTGTACAAAAGGAGTGCAGACCACGGAAGACTTTGAGCTGGAAGAATTCTCTGTGACACCACAGACAATCCCATGTTATAAAAACAAGTGGAACGAGCCCGAATACCTTTCTTCGGTGAGTTTAGATATGACTGTAAGCCAAACTTGAGGTTTGAAGTTATTCCTAATATTTTGTGTGAATATTTATCAAGTACTGTTAAAAAAAAAAAAAAAAAAAAAGGTAATATCTGTGTTTTCTGTGACATTCCTTTGGAGTTCACATTGCATTCTTTAGATGCTTCAGAGAGGCCAGTTTGACCACCTGGGTTGTAGGCAAAAGAATTTGTTTCAAAGTCTTTTGCCTTTTCTATCAGCTAGGCCTTTATTTGATAGTCCTTGAAGATGACTAGGTTTAATGTTTTGGCTTCCTGCATGGAGAATTTTTGCAGATTAACTGAATGCTATCCAGGATGGAATATAATTTAGGGGTCAGGGTTCTATGCTGGACCTTTCTGTGAAAGGACCTTCAATGTACTAAATCGCTGGAAGCTCTCTTTCTCTTAAAGGGTTTTCTCTTTAACATTTACTATTTAAATTCCAGAGGAACAGTATTTCATGAATCCAGCTTATTACATATAATGTTATACTTTTATTATGCCTTCTAAGTTTCCCAGTGACCTTTAGATCTCTTTTTATGGCGTAAAAGATGGAGGGTAGGCTTATTTGGTTCCTCTGTGTACACTAGGTTTTTTATTTGCTTGTTTTTTGTTTTATGATTTAGACACATTAGTTAGATCTGCTGTGTTTGTTTTTGTATTTGCACTGTCACCAAGGCTAAATCATGTTGATTTGTAATTTTGAAATGGTAAACTGTATAATAATAAAGAATAACTCTTGAGACTGGGAAGATGACTGAGTGATTAAAAGTGCTTGTTGCTCTTGTAGAAGACAAGTTTGATTCCCAGCACCCACATTGAGCAACTCACAACTACCCATAACTCCAGCTCCAGGGCTCTGACCCCCTCTTCTGGCCTGGGCACCCCATGTGCACATATATACATGCACACACAGATGCACACACATATACATTTTAAAAAGCAATTCTTGCATTTAAAATTTTTTTAAATGTCTTAGAAGATTTAGCAGGAAGAGTGGCCTCCCAGTGTCATGACACACATACTCTTAAAAAAACTACTTTTTAGTTAAATTCCATTTCTAGCTTTTTTCATTTATGAGTTCTTGGACTTCACTTTCTTCATCTATAAAATGGGTGTATTAATTTTTAGAGCTGATACTGAACCTGTCTCTGTAAAAAACAGACAAATCAGCAAATGGCAATTTAGAGTACAATTTAGCTGCTATTAGAGTGACTGAACTAAGATACAAGTTTTGTTTTGTTTTCTCTCTTGTAATAGATTGAAGTGAATGTCAAGGGCTGGGCAGCTATTCTCTGTCATAGTGATGTGTAGTCCTCCCTGTGTGGTCAGAACTGGCTTTCCATCCCTGTGAAAAGGGAATGAGGACATAGAGGGAAAACGTTTATGTATTCCACACACACTTCTTATCTTCCGTTGGTTGGGGTAGCCCCAGGAGAGGTGTACTTCTCTTGTTGCTGTGACCAGATACCTCACACAATGCAATTTAAGGAAGAAAGGTCTTATTTTGGCTCACAGTTTGAGGGGACATAGTCCATCATGTTAGGGGTGTGAGGCAGCTGGTAACATCACATCCAGTCAGGAAGCCCCACCAGCTTCCTCCTTTTCCTTTTACTCAGTCCAGTACCCCAGGCCTATGGGGTGGCGCCATCCACATTTAAGGTGGGTCTTCCCTCCTCAGTTCAAGTTCTCTGAAAATGCCCTCAAAGGTGCACTGAGAGCTGTATCTCATAGACAATTGTAAGCTGACACTGAAGATTAACCATCACAGAAGGCTAACAAATACAATTTCCAGCTTAGTAGTCCTATGCCCACTGAAAACTCAGGATTCTGTTACTAAAGGGAAGAAAATGGAATTGGATACCAGGGGAGAGTTAACAGCAAGTCTTTACTAACAATAGATACTTTAGTTTGGTTTTTAAAATTGCACACAGGTTTTCAAAAGGAACCATAAGAAAGAAGGAATTTTAAGTTTATAACACTATTTGATTTAAATATGACTGAGTTTATTGGAGACTTGAAACATAGCATAGACTTCAAAGATTCAATGCAGTAGTAGTCACTGCCTGTGTTATGCAGTTCAACACCATCTCTAATTGACGGCGTAGCTGGTTAATTGAAGTAATCAGATTTCGTGAAAGTGTGTGAAGCAAAGACACTTCTACAACCTGCCTCTTCAGAATTTTATGTAGGTTATTGGTTTTATTTCCATTATATTGATTGGTTCAAATATATCTTAAAATAATTCTTTCAAGTTTTACCTCTGTTAAGAAGCATCTTTCAAAACATGAGGATATATGTATTGCTGATTTATTAAATGAAAATTTGCTTTAATTTCTAACAGTAATCATGCTTAATAGATGATAAATCCATATTTAAGTAGTTTTCCCCCCCCTTTCTATACGAAATTGCATTTTAAAAATACATAACAGTACCTGGACTATCAAGACCGAAATGAGCACAAAGCAGAGATTCGAAATTCAATTGTGGAAGAAGAAGGAAAGTTCAGTGAAGATCAGGAACTGAACTCAGCACGACAGGAGGCCAGGAAGCTCGAGAATGGTGAGGAAGAGTTGGTTCAAGTCACTAACGAATCAGCATCCCTTGGGAAAGAAGGGTGAGGGTGCCATAGTGTCCCCACCTTAGCTGTACTGGCTGCTCAGCAAGGAAAGGTTGAGGCAGCAGGAGCATGGTGCACAGGGAGTCAAAGCTGTTGTTTTGGGAACAGACTCACCATGTAGCTCCAGCTGACCAGGAACTCACTCTGTTCACCATCCTAGGCTGGCCTATATACATCTCACAGAGATGCAGAGGGATCCATCTGCCTCTGCGTCCCGAGTGCTGGGACTAAAGGCCTGCACCACCACACCTGGCGAGTCAGAAAGTTTGAATGATGTTACTAAAGAAAGAAATGAAGGCTGAGAGTTGTTAGGGGTTTAGGAATTAAGAAAATTCAGATGAAGCAATATGTAAATAAAAAGGAAAAATACATTCATTGTGTATTAACTCAGACTTAATGAAGAAGTAACCGAGAGCCTCCTTTGTCCTGGTCTTGAGACTAGGCCAGGCTAGCTTAAGTCAGTGAGTAACAAGTCCTGAGTATCTCTGTAATTTTCTTTTGTTTTTAATTTGTAAATCTGAACACCAATAGTGTTGTAAGTTCAGTAAAACAACACACATAGTTTCAGATAATGGAAGTGAAGTTCAGGATTATGTTCATTTCTATCTGGATAAATGTGTTAAAGGTATGTCTGAGGATTTCCGTTAGCCACATAGTAGCTGGTCACAGGAAAAAATGGTTTTGCTTGTTTTGCTGAAATTTTTCCAATGGAAAATTATGATCCAATTGTTGCTTAAATTTGTTACTATGTTTATTAAAGTAAAAGTGATATTTATATAATTGTTGACTAAAAACAGAGCAATTTTCAGAATGGAAAATTGTTATGGTCAGTTCGTTTATACGTAACAAGAAGAGGGATAAAAGCCAAGAGCAGCTCAGCCTGGTCCTTTGGACTGTCTCCCTGGCCCGTTGTGGTTCTGTGTGGAATGATCATCGTCAGTGGAAGAGAGATGCCATTTATTAAAATTATTAGATTTTGACTTTTTTATTCTTTCCCTTGGAAATGACTTTAAAATTATAGAAAACTGGTAACAAAATCCAAAAAATTGTTCGAGTGAATTACACACCTTGTGCCTCTGCCCTTAAGTGGTTGGTGTGTATTTCCTCCAAACACAGGCATTCTCTTAATATTTTTCATATACAGTTCTAAAAGTCAGGAGACTTAACTCTCTACATTTATGGAATCTATTGTCCATATTGTGATTTTGCTGGTGGACACAGATTGTTCCCCACAGCGTTTTCCTCCCAGAACATGGTCACGAGTTGTGTTAATTCTCATCTCTAGCCGTTTTTACTCTGGAGCATCTCCCTTTATGTTTTTTATTATGTGAGATAGATATGCTGAATAGTGACCTTTCTAAAAGAAAAGGGGTTCTTCTGAGACCTGTGCTGTTTTTCTCCTGGGTTAAGCTGCTGCACTGCTGTGTGAGTACATGGTGCTCTGCTGCTTCTCAGTGTCTACTGTCCACAAGTCTATTTTTAAGTTCTTTGTTCTGTCCACCAATCATACCACATACCATGAAACGTGCAGTATACATTAGTTTAAAAGAAGGGAGAGAACTTTCCTACTGCTACAGTGAAGAACAAAGCTTTTCTTAAGTCACCCTCTTAAGTTCAATTCATGTTGATTATTCCTTAATCCAAAATATAAAGTATAGAAATGAAATAATATCATGCCCGTGTACACTGTGCTTAGCATACCCAATGTAGATTAAAAGATTCCTTTTTGTAAAGATGGTAGTTGAATTTTCCTATTTAAAAATATTCACTCTTTTATAAAATTGCTTTTTTCAGAAATTTCATTACATATAGAATGGGAAGGGGAAGAACTTGAGAAAATGAAAGAAGGAAAGACACCTTTCCTAGCAAGAGGAGAAAAGCCGGTGCTGGAAACTGGAAGGTTCCAAATGGAAATGTGTCACATTCCAAACACTGACACACTGGATGATGAGGAAGAGGAAAGGCTAAAGACAGAAATGCTTCTTGCCAAACTGAATGAGATCAACAAAGAACTCCAAGACCCTCACAGCCTGAACCGGCCCCCTTTGCCATTGCTACCCAATTTTGAATCAAAACTGCACTCTCCAGACAGAAGCTCCAAATCATACATGTTCTCTGAGTCCTTAGAAAGATCGTTTAATAGACATCATTTGCCAGACAAGAGTTTTCTAACTCCCAGAGAAGGCCGGAGTCCAGGCTCTATTAGAAGTCCAGCCCCTCCAGATGAGTTTGCCTTTGGGAGCTATGTGCCTTCATTTGCAAAAACATCAGGCAAGTCAAATCCACCTGACCAAAAAAGTAGCCCTTTACGTTTCCAAAACAGTGGTCTGGAAAACCTGAGTAAGCACAGTGCAGATTTCAGTGCAAGGAAAGAGAAAAAGGCCAACCTGATGGAGCAGCTGTTTGGCACCAGCGCGGGCAGCACTGTTTGCTCCAAAAGCAGCGGCCCAGACTCCCCGGCCACCAGCAGAGGAGACTGGGACCCTCTCCAATTCCCATCTGGGGATAAGAGCAGCAGAGTTCGAGAGCCTTCAGATGAAAACGAAGATTTTTTCCTCAGTGAAGGACGGGCTTTTAATCCAAACAGACAGCGGCTAAAGCAGGAGAACAAGCCGGCAGTCACAGCCATTGATTCTGTGGAGGAGGAAGTTGAAGAGGTGACTCTGAGATGACTGGCTGGAGCATCCAGAGTGTGTGTGTGTGTGTGTGTGTGTGTGTGTGTGTGTGTGTATTTCAGTTGTAAATATTAAAGTATTTTCATACAGTATTTATTATAAACATTTAACCTTTTAATGTTAAACATCCTTATTAGGGAATAATTTTTAGTAGCTAAATACGATGCCATTAAACAAGCAGGTCCAGTCTGTAGCTTTTTTAATGAAACCAAAAAGAGAGTTGTTTCTTACTTTGTTTTCACTTTTGACTTACAAATAGGTTTATTTATTAAGCTAGCTCTGTGGGGAATTTTACTTCGCTAGAAGTCTAGTACATTTCCCATTTTTCATCTATTTTTGCTCAAATTCTCACTGAGCTAACTATAGTCTTCCGGCTGGTTGTTAAGTGGAGAGTATGTTCTGGCCCCAGTGGAGGAGAGCAGTGCTGCTTAGGAGCTTGCCTGGAAGAGACAGGGACAGTTGGTCCCTGTCTTAGGTGACAGAGCTGAGCTACTCCTCAGTAGTGACAGTGGCAAGACTGGGCTTTCCCTTTCCTCTGGAAGTGCCCACAGCTTGTCACTCTTAGTGACAGTGCTCTGAACCCATGCACTGCAGTTCTGCTAGTGGCTTAGTTATAGTAAGACACTGTTTGCCTGTGTGGCTCCTCTCTCTTGTGACTCTGGAGACTTGGTACAATGTAATCCCTCTCCTTTTTGTGCTCTGTATCCAGATGGAAGATACTGCCAAATACAGGAAATAAAAGAAGTGACAGCCCAATATAGAAAGATTTTCGACTCAATTGTGTTTCCAGAGTAATATATTTGGAAATTTTAGTACATATTTTTGAGATTTGAATCTGCCCTCAAACCAAGAGGTGTTATACTACTGGGTTTCTAGGACTGATTTTAAAGCAAAGCCGGCTAAATATTTTTTAGCGTTAGGGCTCTGCCTTGCTGAGTAGGCTCAATGGTTTCCTGTTAACTTGCCTAGGTTTCCTTCTACTTGATTCTTCAGCTGCAGAGGTGGATGCTGAGTAGCCGGGTCTGTAAGAGGAGAGATACTTAGCGTGAAGAGCAAGCAGTAGCCAGACTATGAACTAGACTAGCACTTATTCTAACATGAGCTGGTTGGTTTTTCAGTTGTTCATGGTATGATTTCTTACGCTAGGCAGACATGCTGACCGGGCAAGGAGTCATCCTGATGTCTTGTGTTCTTACAAATGCTTGTTAGTGGCGGGGCGGGTACTCCATGACACCTTGCTAAGACTTACCTGGCTAGGTCTCTAATTCAGAGATGTACCGTCCATCTGCTCTTAAATTGTGCTCTGTTCTTGTCATTTATTGGGAACAGACTCTCCCCAAAGTGCTAAATATATTTAAAATTTTTTCTCAGAGGTTTTTAGATCTTCTATAAATAAGTATTTACTATATTGCAAATCAAATTTCTGTAAAACACATTATTTGTAATGCAGTTCTTGATAAAATATTATGTAATGTTAATTTTGGTTTTAGCTGTAAATTTTCTACGAAGAAAGAATTCTAATTTTAAGGATTTTTTTTTCTGCTTTTTAGGAAAAAAACTTTTATTCGGGTTATTTTAATTATATTTGTGCTTTTTTTCTACCTGACAGTCCCTTTAGCCCCATGAAAAAAGAATTGTTAAAATTAAAACAAATTAAGTTAAAAGCTTAAAAGCATTATGATGTTAAGTATTGAAATTGAATATTAAGCTGTACAGAGCAGGTTTTTTTTTTTTTAATGAACAAATGTTAGAGTGAATCAGTTTTTTTCTAAACGTCAGGTTACAATTATTTATACTCAAAACTCCTTACTAATAAAAATTTAAAACATACATGGCTCTTGATTTGAATTATGCTTTTAGTTATTAGAAAAATACACCATGGAAATGGCTGTGCAGGGTTTTTACTTCATCGTTCACTTTTTTTGTCTGTGGTAGTTTTAGTTGTAGTGTGTGAATTTGTATTAAATCAGGTTAGACCATAGGCTAGTCTTTGTTAGGGTCCGTGACTCGATGGGTCCCCTCCAGATAACAAATACACGGGATTGGAGATGTAAAAATCAAGCAGAGTCTTTACTTTCCAGCCGGCTGGGGGCGACCGGTTTCCCAAGACATGCAAGTCTGGTCAGAACGATCGACCCCCATTCAGTTTCAGATACAGATTATATAGGCCCACATAGTCATTACACAAAAAAGCATTCCTCAGCAGACACTTTGATCAAACATCTTCTAAAAGCTATAGTTTCGGTTAAACATCTTTTCCAGGAAGGCTAGATCTGGTGTAAGCCTGGTGCAACTTCCTTCTCTTTGTTCCTTATCGGTTATCTGGTATGTGCAAACAGGCCTACAGGACACATTGTAAATCAACTAAGTCTGGGGTCCAGGGTCCAGGGTCCAGGAAGGAGGTTTACAGCACTTCAATTCTTAGCATTTCAACTAGGTTAATCATCCATGTGTGGTAGATACAAATCAGGCAGAACAGGCAAGCTTAGCAAGTAAATCTAAATCAACATTTTAAACAGAGTTTTCTATCAAAAT